GACCACCAGATCCTGTGGGCGGAGGACAGAGGGCGGTGGGCGGTGGGCGGTGGGCGGTGGGCGGTGGGCGGTGGGCGGTGGGCGGTGGGCGGTGGGCGGTGGGCGGTGGGCAGCAGGCGGTGCGGCGTTGCGCGGATGGATAATAATCTCGCCGCATTTTTTTGTGTCGTTTCGTCGTCGTTTGATTTCGCCGCAAATTTCCTTGTCCAATCTCCGACCCCGACACCTCGACCGACCGACCGACCTATCGACCTATCCGACAAGCCCGGAGCGTGGAAGCCCGGCACCCGGAAGCCCGTAATGACTGTAACGACCGACTCCTCGACGATATTGTAACGTTTTCGGCTTTTGGTGACCTCATCTGGATACTATAATACAGCAACCTTGTGGAACTGTGCAATCAATGACGACTTGAAGAGACTCGAAACAAGTCCAGCACCCAGCCGGTTTCCCTCCACTCACTGAAAAGACTCCACCACATCCCGTTCGACTGTGGGTATATCTCGAATGGGTAGTCTTTCTGTGTGCGTTTTTTTTTTTATTATTATTCCTTAAATCAATGGCTTGGCGTGTCAGCACGAACGAATGAATGAACGAGATCTATCTATCTCCGTCCTACAACTAAAATATTAGGAAACACAGAAAGACTATTGTACCCGTTCGAGATATACCCACATTCGAACGGGATGTGGTGGAGTCTTTTCAGCGAGTGGAGGAAAACCGGCTGAATGTATAATAACTAACTACAGCAAGCAGAGGTAACACCCCGTGCGTAGTGTAGGTTGCATTATTAGATATCACACCCCCTGGACCGATTTTCAAAGCCTGACTACTCCACGACGAAGAGGATGCCGAAATCAAATGGCGCTTTGTTGTCGGAAAGCTCTCGACGACGAAGTGTTTCTAACGCTGCCATTGTTCTCGGCATCGTCGCTGCTTTTTTTCCTGCCGAGTTATCGAGATCTGGAAATCGGTCCAGGGAGGGGGTGGTGGGTGTAACATCCTAGTTATAACGTGCAACCTACGCACCACGCTGTGCTTGCTGTTTGTTGAGACCGACCGTAGACCTGCTGTCTGTGGAGAGGATAAGACATCTAAAATTTGAGTGTGGGTTCTTGTCTGTATTATTGGCATCGACCGCACTGACCGCCTGACCGATGAAAAGACTTTGTTTGTTAGTCTCAGTCGTGCGGTGGAAACCACGAAATAAATGCTTTCTTTACGGCCACGATCTGGGACTCGGTGAATGAGCGTCATGGGGGAGTCTCTACGCTGCTCTCCGGATTAAAGGTAGAAACGGTAGCAACATAGGAAAATTGAACGTGTCTACCCAGCCAGGTTGTTACCTTGCACTCGAGTTCGTTTTAGAGCGCTTTCAACATCCTCATCATCATCCTCCTTGCGTACCACCATTCATCATACCCTCATCACCATCATTCATTATAATAATATATATTGTAGCTTTTTTGTGCAAGTTCTCATTCGAAAAAATATATACAAACTAAAGAAAGGCAGAAAGGCTACCCATTCGAGATATACCCACAGTCGAAGGAGATGTATTGGAGTCTTTGCAGTAAATGGAGGGAAACCGGCTGGGTACTGGGCTTATTTCGAGTCTATTTAAGCCCATAATACACTGAAATTCTTCTATTATAGCCCTCCCTGCGCCGTTTGTTCGTTGTGAGGAAGGCCATCATCTATCTGTACTGGCTCGAAGCTCTCTCTCTCTTCCACTCCATGCTTGCTTCCCTCCTCCATTGCTGTTTTGGTCGTTCCCCTTGTCCTCCCGTTCCGTTTCCTCCTCCTCCGTCGCTACCAATGATTTCCTCTCATTGCAACCATCATCATCATCGTCTTCGTCCGCACTACCAAAGTCCCAACCAATTATTGGCTTTGTTTCTTGGTGGAATTTGGCTCATCAGTATTAACCCATGCATTCATGGCGTTTCAGCACGTCGTCGCGAGTTCGTGCTGACAGAAAGAGAGCTAACGTGTCTCAAGCGTGTGTAAATCTGTGATGACTAGTATGTACCCTCCCACGGTACGTACAAGTTTAGCAAAAAAATGCCCACTTGCACGGGAGGGCGTCAAATCTCCACGGGGAAGGTTTAGTAGTCAGTGACGGGAGCACAACAAACAAACACGCTTGCTTGCTTGCTTTGTACAAAAAAAAAGTGTACTGACTCGAAAATGCGTACGTGGCGGTCCGTGCACCTGCAAGACTGTGGCTTCAACGGCCAAAAATGTGACATGTACAAAAAGCACGCGAAGAGTCTTCATCTGCAGCTAGCAGCTGCTGCTGTCTGTCGACCCCTCCCTCCCTCTTGCCTGCTTGCTATGCGAATGAATGTGGAGGATTTCGCTCTTCATTTTTGTTTTTCCCCGTAAATCGTGAACTAACATTTTCATCATTGCGAACGGTTTGGCCCACCGCCACGGGGCGAACTAATACTACCACACACAAGGACGCCTCTGCCCCCTAAAACATCTGCTATGCTACCTCTAGACACTCACCCGACACAAAAAAACGTAGTCACCCCCAAATACTCGACTCGCACGAGGTGAGATGTTAGCGGAGCCCGAGTGGTTGATTTCTGCAAAAAAACTTCCAAGGAACATATCATCGTAGATAAGTCAGTCGGTCGTGTGTTGTTGCGTTCCAGCGCATCATCAGCGACGACAGCGACTTTGGCTCTCTCCGACACGTATCGCATGTTTTTCTGCAACTCGATCATGATTGATTTTCGAATGAAAACGCCAACAGCAGTCCCGTCACCACGATCGATCGCCGCTGATAAACAGGTGGAGGCCCACACCTTGCTTGTCTTGTCGTCAATTCTCCTTCCTTTACCACTACAGTAAATTCAACTCACGACGTAAAATCCACTTAACTTTTTTGCGACACATCTCATACCGCCAGTGACCTACAACCTGTATATTTCGCAGCTCGCATAACGACAAGCCCGTCAACACAACACCCAACCGACCATACCATTCGTAAAAACACACGAGTGAATACCACTGCACTCGCTGAAAACCAACACGTCACCCCCCCCCCCCCATCCCTCGAAGTAAAAACTTTACCACCTCCTTTCCTTCCTTCGAGACAACGAACGACAACATTGTGTCAAGTTATACCACCAGCACAACTGTGGGTTTTGGTTCATTTGGGTCTACCAGCATTCAACCCATCAACCAAAAACAACAGTGTCCCGCCCGGCACTAGCCCCCCCCCCTCCCCCCTCCCCCTCCAAGCTATCGCAGCTGCCCTCTCCCGTTCCTATAGGGTGACGCTAGTTCACAAACAAATGGCGTTCCCAGTACGCCCCCTATAAACCGACCCCTCGACACAAATCAAACGTATTTTTGTGATTGAGCGACTGCTGGCAATAATGAATGAATGTCTACTCTTGAGTTTTAACCTAGAATATGATCGGCCTTCTTCCCGTGTGGCTTGACTTTCCTGCTTTTCGACAAAAGTACAAGTAGGTCAATTTCTCCCCCCCCCCCCCCCCATCCCCAAGCACATGCCTCGCAACGCTTTGTCTTGCTGGACAAGCCGAGAATAACAAACAAGATCTAACACAACATCCAGACGAAGCCGACCTCCCGCCAGAACAGCACAACAGTGACTAGCCCAAACTCCATCCCGTCCGGCCGGTCACTTGGACGGCAAGGAGGCCGGGGTTCCCCAATCCAGCGGCAGCAGCACGAAAACCCCACTCCGATCGATATGCCCACGTGTGACCGTGGTTCTCGCTCTCTCTAATTTGATTTTTCTTTCCGCCGGTGTCAGTGCCTACACCACTTCAAAGGCCACCTACTTCTTCTACCGCCATCGCCCTCAACTGCCGCCGTCTGCTGCCGTTGCAGGAGCCTCCTTTTGCCCGGCTTGGCCTCCCTCTCCCTCCACGCCACCAACGTCAACCACGGAAGGAGCTGCCGGACCTACCCCCTGCGCCACCGCAACTCCCGTTTCCTCTACCCTTCCGCCCGGTTCCGGTACACCTCCACCGGGTTCTGGTACACCTCCACCTGCATGCGCCGCCGCCGTTGCAGCGGAGGCCTCCGCGCTCGATAGAACCCTGCTGCTACCGCCTGCGGCAGCGGCGGCGTTGCTCCCGTCCGGGCGCGTCACCGCCGTTGCCGTTGCGTCGCCGTGACTTACCTCGCCACCACCGCCGCCGCCGCCGCCGCCGGCCACGGCTCGTAAGCCTCGGGTCGGCGGAGGCGGCGGCGGCGGCGGCGGAGATAGCAGGTGGTTCAGCCCGGCCTCGTTGCCGCCGTCGTCTGCCGGGAGGACGCTTGGCGCCGCCGCCGGTGTCAGCACCGCTGCTGCTGCCGGTTTTGTCGTCGTCGTCGCCGCGGTCGCGCCGCCAACGGCGGCAGTCGCCGCCGCGCTACCTCCGACGGCGGGGCTGACGTGCCGTGCGCACCTGCCTCCCCCCCGCTCTCGGACGGGAGACCGCCGGGGGGACAGGCTGGTGCCGCCCGTCGCCGGCGTGGTGCCGGGGGCCGGGGATTCCTCCGCGTCTTCGGTGGAGAAGGTGACTCGGTACGGCGTGAGCGGGTGGCCGTCTTCGCACTTGGTGCCAACCTCCTCGTCGCACTCCGCGCACCTGATTGGTCGTGTTGTTAGTGTTGGTGGTTTCGGCCCAAGAGGAGGAAACGTCGGAAGGCGAAATGCACCAGTCAGCAGGTGCTCTTGGTTTGAAGGACAAGGGTAAGGAGAGGTTTAGCGAGGCCGAGAGAGCGAGTCGGGAGGGGCTATTTAATTTGCACTTTCGACAAAGGAAAGAGGCGTAGGAAGGCCAAGCGCAGCAGTCAGCAAGGGTTATTGAACTTGTGGTTTCGACAAAGGAAAGGTAGAAAAGAAAGGCCAAAACTCATCAGTCAGGAAGAGGTACTCTTGGGATCGTGGTTGGACAGAGGAAAAAGGTAGAAAGGCCAAGCCCACCAGCCAGAAATCTCTTGGATTCGACTTCGAGAAAGGCCGTCTCCGGTTTTCGTATTGCCACAACACCCAAAAAAAGACAAAACATCCTCGTCGAATCACCCCCACGAGTGGGGGTGGGAGAAGGTCGTGCCGGAAAAGACAGACACACGGCAACATGTGCACGATTAACTAAAGGAAAGAAAACAAGTTCTACAACCCATCGATCAACCAGAAACACTCGTGCACAGCAGTAGAGCACCAACACATTTGTGACGCTGTCATCAACACCAGCGGAAAGCCAAAAAAACTCACAGGTCGTAGTTGCAAACGCCGCAGTGGTACCGCACGAAGCGAACGGGCCGCCGGCAGCGTGAACAGAAGGGGTTGAGGCTGCGACTCTCCGGGCGGTGCAGGTGGTACAGCACCATCGCCGACGAGTGCTTCGCCCTTCGGAGGGTGTCAAACTGGTAGTGTCGGAACTGTCCATCGAGGTGCGTGACAGAAGGGGTTAGGCTTCGAGACCCCACGAAAGCGGTGGCTAAGAACACGACGAGAAAAACAAAACAAGAAAATAATCAGTCGTACACGGTTCGTTATCAAACTCAGTCATGTGAAAGCAAACGCCCGGCAAATATCTCAACAAAAACACCAACACCACAAACAATACGCCACACACAACGACAACTAAGGCCGCGAAACAACTGGGCACATGTATTCCTGTGTCTACGACCCTACGCTATCGTCAATTCTCCCCCCACCCCCCCGCTACCCCCCACAAGAGACTAAGAGGCAAAGGGCTCTTTTATGTGGACAAGACATTTCGGTTTGCCACTCCAGCATTACTGAGAAAAAAAATCAAAACCAAAACGAACACGTGTAAAAACAGGCGAGTTTCTCACCTGGCACATTTCCAAGAATGTGTGTCGCGCGTCGACCAGCGCCCTCGATATGGGCGGGTCCGGGTCGTGGCAGTCCGGCGTGAGGGTCCCCTCGATGCCGGAGGAGGCGTGCCAGGCCTCTAGCTCCGCAAGCATCGCCTCCTTCGTCATGCCCGACCCCGCGCGCGCGGGAGGCGGCTTGGCCGGCTGGTCCGGTTTCCCAAGGGTAACCACCAGGAGGTCCTTGCTGATCCGCGTCACTGCCCTAGACAGAGACTGTTTTTCCGTTCGCGACACATAACAGGGGAGGAACGTGGTTTTGTCGTGAGAATCGGGACCGGTTTTCGTTCGCGACAAATTAAAGCTACAGTATGCGGCTTGACGTAAGAATGGAAAGGGGTTTTCGTTCGCGACTCAAAAAGGTATGTGGTTTTGTCATGAGAATCGGGACCGGTTTCCGTTCGCGGCAAGTAAAAGGTAGAGGGTATGTAGTGGTTTGTCACGAGAACGGGGAGGGGTTTCCGTTCGCGGCAAGGAAAAGGTGGTACATTATTTCCGCCGCCTGCACGGGTTTCAAAGAGCAAACAACCGTACCGCACACATGCCTCACACGAAACGCCTCGAAAACAGACGACGGACCCAAAGGGTTTGCAACAAGAACCACGACTAACGTCTAACGTCTCGCAACAGGAGGCGTGAAACGCGCTCGCAGATGCACACACCTGTGCTACCACCCCAACTACCGACGAGCTCGGAGACGCACATCTGTACAACCAACCAACAACTTCCGACTAACCTGGAGCATTCGTCCGATCCTATCCGCCTTGCCCATCACCGCGGTCCCGGGGCCCTTCCCCCTCTTGCTCTTGCCCTTCCTTCCCCCGGAGTCCATGCTCTTCGCCCGAAGCCGAGGGCTGTGCACCGTGGGACCCCCGTCCCCGCCCCCGCCCCCGCCGCTGCCGCCTCCGACCGTCGACCGCCCCGAGCTGCTGCCGTTTCCGCCCGACTTGTTGTTCATTTTTATCCCGAACGCCTCCGAACCAGAGGAAGCCTGTCCCAATCCGCCTCCGAGCCCATCGGACGCCCCCCCCCCGCTCCCGGTGAAGCTCAAGCTCCGGGCGTGGGGTCTAGCCGGCGACGGAGCGGAGTCGACGCTCATCGCGCGGATGAGCCCCGCCCGCTGGTTCTGCTGCTGGTCCTCCGGCATACGCTCCTCTGTGAGCGGGCGCGCGGTAGCGGCCGTGGCAGTAGCGCCAGGAGCTGTTATCCACGGCAACGACATGGAGGAGGCCGGTCGCGCGCTCCCGCCGGCGGCAGCCTTCGCCGCCTGCTCCGGCGATAAGGTAGTCGATGCAGCGGTAGCACCAGCAGCACTGGCTGGGTTCAAGACGCTAACGCTACCAGCAGCACCGTTAGCCGCCGAAGGGTGGGGCGGATCCAGCGTCAGCGGCGGTGGCGAACCGGAACCTCGAGCAATGCCGCCGGCCGCTTCCGAGCCAGGAGTTGTCGGTCCAGGAGCCTGCGGGACGGGTGCCACCGCTACTGCTGCTGCTGCTGCTGCTGCTGGCGCCGAGGCTTCGGAAGAATTGGCAGAGGCTGCTGTTGCTGCTGCTGCCGGGCTTGCAGTCAGAGCCCCCGCCGCCGCTTCGACAGGGGAGGCCAGGCCGCTTGGTGCGTGCCCGGCCGCCGCCTCCCCCGACCCTGCAGCCGCCAAGGGTCCCAGTGCTTGCTGCTGCCGTCCGGGCGGCCACGTAAGCGTAGACCACGCGCCAGGCGGGGCGGGCGCCCCCACCGTCGGGGGAGACGGCTGTTGTCGCGCCGCCGCTGCCGCCGCCGGTGCTGGCTGCGCTTGAGCCACACCGCCGTTGCTCCCGGCCACGTGTTGCTGCGACAGGGGCTCGGAGATCAGACTCGTCAGCGCCGCCTGTCCCTCCCTGTTCTCCCTCGTGGCGCTTGCGCTCTCCAGGGTCTCCCCTTCCCCGTAGCTATCGGCCAGGGACAGCTGGGAGGCGGTCGAGCTTCTCCTCTGGAGCATGCGCGCCCCGCTCGGCCCGTAGAACTCGGACACCGACATGACCGCGGTCGACCCGGACCGGCTCAGCCTCTCCCCGCCGTTCGAGTGGGGGGGAGCGTCCGTGGCAGAGCTCTTGTCCGTCGACCCCCCGCCGCCGCCCCCGCCGCAGGTGGCCCCGCCTGAAAGGCCGCGGCAAGAAGGGACGGTGGCCGGCATCCCTACCTCGACCGGGCTGCTCTCGCTCATCGGCGGCAAGGTGCCGACGGCACGGGTGGTGCGCGCGGAGTGCGCGGCCCACGTCTGTAGTAAAAATATGCCATCGCGCGGGATCAGAAGACGTAGACGTGAAAACCAAGGGAGAGGGGGGGAATGAGAGCCATCGTCAGTCGCAGAAGGCATCAAGAAGGCGGTCGGTCGCCAGCTGGTATCCCCCAGAGGCATGGTCTGGGCAGCGCAACGCAAGCGTTGGTCGGGTTGTGTATCACACCCTCTTCAGGTAGTGGAGCAATCGATCACGCAAAATCGATTGCACATCTGCGCGCTTGAGAGTTGTTGTTTTTCGGTATTCGACACGCGATGAACACGAAGACAACATGTATGTGCAGTACCGTGGGGCACGGCGTAAAGCAACAGCAACACACAAGAGAAGGCGACGGAAACAAAAACCTCGCAAACCACCTTTCCCACCCTCCCGGGATGGACGGACCAAGACATGCGCCGCGCGCTGAACAGCATCCCATCCGCTTCCACTACTAGAAATCAACACACATGAAAAACACACCAATGGACCGATCGACCAGCTCGACCAGCTCGTGCTCCCCCCCAACCCCCCCCCCACACACACATGTTTTACTAAAGAAACAACACCAACGACTCCGTCGGTCGCCTCTTCCCCGCCCCCCCAAAATCTCCTTGTTACCTTTCGGGCAAGAGCGCTCAGGGGACCGATCGCGTCGAACGCCCACGGGAT